CACTGGTGATGTGTTTCCTGCCCATCACACTATACACTGAATATTAAGAGCATAGGTCGAGCCGTTAAGATTTGTGCCGCTATTCCGTATAAATTTCCTCCTATACCTTAAGTTAGGGGGAAAATATTCCTCCTCCGTTTACACATCTTGACCGTTGACCCTTGACCCCCAAATTTGACATTTTGAGTCCTTTTCACGATCCCTCCCCCCACGTCCCGAATATCGTGACCGTACGTCGAGCCGTTAAGATTTGTGCCGCAATTCCGTATTTCCTCCTATACCTTAAGCTAAGGGGAAAATATTCCCCCTCCGTTTACACATCTTGACCTTTGACCCTTGACCCCCAAATTTGTCATTCTGAGTCCTTTTCACGATCCCCCCCCCCACGTCCCGAATATCGTGACCGTACGTCAAGCGGTTAAGATTTGTGCCCAACTGTTGACGGACAGACGGACGCACGGAGGGACGCACGATCATGTGATTCTACAAGCTGCATCTGCCTACATCAGATGAGCTAAAAACGATAAATTAATAATAACAAATAACATCAATACACTATAATACTAATAACAAATTATAATAAATACTAAACAATAAACTATATAATAATGATAGCAGTGTCGCGGCGGCTGCGTTACCTTTGAGAGGCCCGTAAGGACGGGGATGAGGAACCTGACATCAGATACACGCTTGTGATAGAGGTCTCGCACACGCTCCACCAGCTGCTGCGACGGGGGCGCTACCATAGCAACAACACGCTCATCATCATCATCATCATCATCATCATCATCATCATTGCAAACGATTCGATTATCATCCGTCCAACAAATCGAAATATGACGCGCTTCGTTTTAATCCGGACGATTTAACAATTTCGCGACTGAACGATTTCATCTAATCTCGTTTAAACTTGTGCTTGAACCTTGGAAAGACTTTCAACTTTCCCGGTCCGCAAAACTCCATGTTGGCTATGCAACCGGGCAATAATTGTAGAATACGTGATGAACTCATACACACAGAGTTCGTTCAGCCACACAGAGAGGGGAGAGCGTGATGAGGGAGGAGGGACGTACATTTATCGGTGAGGATGTGGATGATGCGGGTGACCAGGGTCTCCGCTCCCTTCGGACAATTCTCCACCAATAGCAGCAGCTCCGGAGAATTCATGCCCATGCCCTTCACCTGTACAGGTAGAATTTCATTAGCAGGTGAGGGCGAATTCATGTTCATGCCCTTCACCTGTGCAGGTAGAAGTTAATTTGCAGGTGAGGGGTATTAATGTCTATGCCCTTCACATGTACATGGGAGAAGTTAATTAACAGGTGATGGATAATAATGTCTATGCTCTTCACCTGTATAAGGGAGAAGTTAATTAGCAGGTGAGGGTGAATTCATGTTCATGCCTTTCCCCTGTATAGGTAGAAATTAATTAGCAGGTGAGGGCAAGTTCATACCCATGCCCTTAACCTGTACGACAAGTATTCTCATAAATCACGGGAACCCATCAAGGTGGATAGCTTACACATGTATCCTAAAGCGTAATTTTTGTATTAAAAAATCCAACTGCGACACGTTGGAAAATGAACCCTTTGGTTCCCGATCAAATGAATAAGAAATTCCTTCGTAAATGAATTTCGACAACTTCTGTTTCGTTTCAAGATAATCGACCGCTCCGCCCTCCAAGTCTCGCTCCCTGCACGATGGCGCCCCCTCTCTCACCGGAGCTTCAAGCACTCTCAGTATGGTGCGTTTGATGTCAGCGACCGCCGCCGTGTAGACTGCTGCTAGCTCGTGGATGAGAGCGTGGTTGTCAGGCAGCAGTGCCAGCACCAGGTACAGACAAAGCTTGATGCTATCCTCTGTCCACGCTGCGTCACCACCGTCACCGCCGCCGGCCGCTGTAAGTAGACCATGTAAGGACAGATCAGTGGACATGTAGCGGACACAGGTACAGACACAGCTTGATGCTGTCCTCTGTCCACGCTGCGTCACCACCGTCACCGCCGCCGGCCGCTGTAAGTAGACAATGTAAGGACAGGTCAGTGGACATGTAGCAGACACAGGTACAGACACAGCTTGATGCTGTCTTCTGTCCACGCAGCGTCACCGTCACCACCGCCGGCCGCTGTAAGTAGACAATGTAAGGACAGGTCAGTGGACATGTAGCAGACACAGGTACAGACACAGCTTGATGCTGTCTTCTGTCCACGCAGCGTCACCGTCACCACCGCCGGCCGCTGTAAG